TCTTGTTCCTCATCCTCATATCCGACATAGACAGGATGTCAGCCACAGCCCCGTGTCTTCCTTTGCAGATGACACCCGAATCTGCATGACAGTGTTTTCCATTGCAGACACTGCAAGGCTCCAGGCGGAATCAACCAAATCTTTCAGTGGGCTGCAGAAAACAATATGAAGTTCAACGATGAGAAATTTAAATTATTTCAGATATGGTAAACACGGGGAAAAATTAAATCTTCAACAGAGTACAAAACAAATTCTGGCCACAAAATAGAGCAAAAACCACCAACGTCAAAGACTGGGAGTGATCATGTCGGAGGATCTCACCTTCAAGGACCATAACATTGTATCAATCGCCCTCTGCTAGAAAAAAAGACAGGATGGGATAATGGAACCTTCAAAACTAGGGAGGCCCAAGCCCATGATGACACTCTTCAGGTCACTTGTTCTATCTAGGTGGAATATTGCTGCACACTAACAGCCCCCTTTTAAGGCAGGTGAAATTGCTGACCCAGAAAATGTACAGAGAACCTTCATGGCGCGCAAAAACGGAGATAAAACACCTCAATTACTGGGAGCGCTTGAGGTTCCTAAACCTTGTATCCCTGGAAGGCAGGCGGGGAGAGATACATGGGTTATATACACCTGGAAAAAACCTAGAGGGATAGTACCGAACTTGCACACGAAAATTAAATCACCACGAAAACAAAAGACTTGGCAGGGCGATGCAAATCCCCCCCAAAGAAAAGCAGGGTGTCACTAGCACGTTAAGAGGGCCATACAATAAGTGTCAGGGGCCCCGGGCTGTTCAACTGCCTCCCAGCATACATAAGGGGGAAATTTCCAACAGACCCCTGGCAGTCTTCTAGCTGGCACTGGACAAACACTAAAGTCGGTTCCCGACCAGCCGGGCTGTGGCTCGTACGTTGGTTTGCGTGCAGCCAGCAGTAACGCCTGGTTGATCAGGCTCTGATCCATCAGGAGGCCTGGTCACAGACCGGGCCGCGGGGGCGTTGACCCCGGAACTCTCTCCAGGTAAACTCCAGGTGTTCAGTCCCTCAACCTTGATAGGTGTTGAGTCTCTCAACCTTGATAGGTGTTGAGTCCCCTTTAAACCCGATAGGTGTTCAGTCCCTCAACCTTGGGTAAGTGTTCAGTCCTCAACCTTGATAGGTGGGTTCAGTCCCTCAACCTTGATAGGTGTTCAGCCCTCAACCTTGATGGGTGTTCAGTCCCCCAACCTTGATAGGTGTTCAGTCCCCCCAACCTTGATAAGTGGTTTAGTCCCTCAAAACCCTTTATAGGTGTTCAGTCCCTCAGCCTTGATAAGTGTTCAGTCCCTCAGCCTTGATAGGTGTTCAGTCCCTCAGCCTTGATAGGTGTTCAGTCCCTCAGCCTTGATAAGTGTTCAGTCCTCAACCTTGATAGGTTGCTAGTCCCTCAGTCTTGATAGGTGTTGAGTCCCTCAGTCTTGATAGGTGTTCAGTCCCTCAACCTTGATAGGTGTTCGTCCCTCAGTCTTGATAGGTGTTCAGTCCCTCAACCTTGATAGGTGCTCAGTCCCTCGTCTTGATAGGTGTGAGTCCCTCAGTCTTGATAGGTGCTCAGTCCCTCAACCTTGATAGGTGCTCAGTCCCTCAGTCTTGATAGGTGTTTCAGCCCCTCAACCTTGATAGGTGTTCAGTCCCTCAACCTTGATAGGTGTTCAGTCCCTCAGTCTTTGGGCAGGTTTTCAGTCTTGGTATAAGGTATTCAGTTTCCTTAGCATTAACAGAAGGTAATAAAGTTGGTAGAATTACCGACAAAATGTAAAGTAAAAGGACACAAGTGAACTAATGTGACATTTTATTGTGGCAACGGGTTTTGCTCTTCAAAAAGCTTTGTCAAGCCATTACAAACAATACATGGACACAGAGGGTATATATAGGCTCAAAATGAGGTGCAATCTAGTGGTGGGTAGTGTACTAGTGTAGTGTAGTAGTGACAAAAGTTGTTGTAGT